AAGAGGTGGTAATGGCCTCCTTCCCATCGGGAGTGCAAGAAGGGTGGATGACACCAATTCGCCTCTTCCTAACTCAGGGAGTCGTACCGGAGAACCCAAAGGATGCCTGGCGCCTTCGTCGGAAGGCAGCCCGATGCACCATCGTGGATGATGTGTTATACAAGAGATCACATTCCGGCGCCTACTTGAGGTGCCTTACCGAGGCAGAGGGGTTGGAGGCGATCAACGAGGTGCACCAAGGAACGTGTGGCATGCATGCAGGCGCTCGCAGTTTGGAGAAAATTTTGCTCCGCCAAGGATATTACTGGCCAACAATGCGAAGAGACACAGGGAGACACGTGACATCATGCCACCAGTGCCAAATCCATGCCAACGACATTCATCTCCCAGCGGCACCTATGCAGGGAAATGTAGGCGCCTGGCCCTTCGCTCAGTGGGGCATGGACCTGTTGGGCCCATTTCCGAAGGCGCCTGGTCAGTACAAGTATTTAATTGTCGCGGTTGATTACTTCACCAAGTGGATTGAAGCAGAGCCATTGGCCTCAATCACTGAGGCGCAAGTGCGGAAGTTCACAAGGAAGAACATTTTTACGCGTTTTGGGCTCCCGGAATCCATCATCACTGACCATGGAAAACAATTTGATTGCAAAAAGTTCATAGAGTTTTGCGATGAACATGGGGTCGTGTTGAGGTTCTCTTCAGTGGCCTACCCTCAAGCCAACGGACAAGCCGAGGCAGCAAACAAGAGTATTTTGCACGGCTTACACACGAGATTGACAGAAGCCAAGGGAAGATGGGTTGAAGAGTTACCAAGTGTTCTATGGGCGCACAGGACTTCCTTCAAAGTAGCCACGGGCGAAACGCCCTTCGCGCTAACTTATGGTAGTGAAGCGGTGTTGCCTGTCGAGATGCGTGTCCCAACTTTCAGGATGACCCATCGAAGCGAGTCTATGGAGGCCCAAGAGCGTGTTGATGAGCTAGACCTATTGGACGAGCGCCGAGAGATGGCGGTGTTGCGGTTGGAAGCAATGAAGGGTCAAGTAGCAAGGTACTACAACAAAAAGATGAAGGCACACAACCTCGTGAGGGGTAGCCTTGTCCTAAAAAGGGATTTCCGCCCAAGAGCTGCCGAAGGGAAGTTGGCCCCAAAGTGGAAAGGGCCATACCGTGTTCAAGAGGTCATTGGTCCAAATACATTCAAGCTGGAACACCTATCAGGCAAGAAGGTCAAAAGGACGTGGAATGCACAAAACTTGCGCAAATATGAGGCGCCTGAGTCGGAGACAAGTACCATGCAAAGAACAGGGGAACAGGCGTCTGAAGATGAGTAAGCATGCAACCTTAGTCCATCCCATGGCGGAGTTGTCTTTCTTCTGTGTTATGTTTTCCAAAGCGCCTAATTTTGCGCCCGCCTTATCCCGTAAAGCGCCCTACTCGCGCCCTCTCCATGTAAAGCGCCCCAATTTTGCGCCCAAACTCTTTGGAATCGGATTAATTATTATACGTGAAAGCGGATGTCTAAAGAAGTAGTAGCATAGCGCCCACCTCATCGCGCCCCATATAGCGCCCATACCATTTGCGCCCATACCATATTCTAAGTAATTCTGAATAAAAGCGCCCCAAAATAGCGCCCGGCAAATCTAAGTATAGCAAAGCGCCATGTTTCGCGCCCACCTTTTGCAAAAGCGCCCAATTATTGCGCCCTCACGAGAAACGCGAAGATTGATAATATAAAGTGAAAGTTAAAATGGGAGCAAAGTCGATTGGCAAGGAAAAATTCTTGTATAACAAGGAAAACACAAGGACGGCATTACAAGATAAAAGAAGATAACACCCAATGACCGCTTGTCTAGTCAGCGCCTGAATTTGCATCCCCAGCACTGGGCGCCCTTGGAGAAGGAGAGAGAGGAGCAGATTGCTCGGGCGCCCCACTTGTCCCGCGAGGCGTCTCCATCCCACCGATCACATACTCCGCCATCTCCGAGAGATCCCAAGTAAGGTCGGGGTGATCCTTCTGCAACTTCCCCCGCAAGATTTCAATGCCGGTCAGGATGGCATTGGCGCACATGGACTTCCCAGTCTCGGACTCCATCAAGTTGTCCAAAGATTGCCGAAGTTCGGAAATTTCTTTCCGGGCCCTCTTCAAAGATTTCTCGCTCTCCTTGTGGGCGTCCTTCAGCCTCTTCTTCTCCTCCTTGAGGATGTCGATTTCACTGGCCTGGGCGCCAGCTTCTTGCACCAGCGCATCCTTCTCGGCCTGCAGGGTGGCCAGTTTATTGCGCTCCTCGTCCAGGGCGCCTTGCAGACGCGACAACTCCATGGTGGCCGTCATCTGGGCGTCTTCACACTCCTTCGCAAACTGCTCGCGGCGTGCAGTTGCGTTCTCTAAATCCAACTTCAGCTGAGCAGCCGAAGAGGAAGCCTCGAGCGCCTCCCTTTTAGTCTCATTGAGGCGTCGGGCGCCTCTTTCAGCAAAAAGAAGGATCTGCAAACATTGGACAAGGGTCAGCAAGTGGTGCAAAATAATAAGTAAGAAGGATCTGAAAATACAAGTGCAAAGAGGCATACCTTAGCGCCCACTTGGGCAAGTTCAGCAAAATGGTGATCACTGGTCACCTCGGACGGTATTTGCCAGGACTTGGCGGCCGCGATTGCCAAGCCCATGGCACACCCTCGGTCAACGGCGACCAAGGGAGAACAGTTCATGTTGACCCGGCTAATAAATTATAAATTAGGGCGATTTAATAAAACTAGGGCGACAATTAGCAACTCCCAACTTTTAAACATGATAAAATATATAATTGAATTCTAAGTTATTGGAAGTTGAGATAAAATGGATTTTTAAATTTCATGATTAACTTGATATTAGTTATCTCGGATTTCATAGCTGTGGTGTTAATGCGACGGATGTGTTGCATATGCATGAGTTATGCACGAAATCGATTGTGGAAGTGATTTGATAATCATATACAAACATAATGCGTGCTAATGTTTCGTAATGATGGTTTTCTTCTTCAATAATGTAAGATAATGAAAAAAATTTGTGACAGACTTACAGTAACATGTCTGATTTTTTTTATGCACGTCATAGTAATACCAAAGGTTAAATCATATGATTATAGCTTAGTTTGGCATGCTCTACCTTTTGTCGAAGCAGATTTTGACTGGAGTTTTTAGGTAAATGCTTTTTAAAAAAGGCAGTTGACTGTTTGGCTATAAAACTATTAGAAGTGCTTTTTAATAATTAGAGGTTGTATAAAATGACTATAAATGACTTATAATATTAAATATGAATAAAAATTCTAAACAATAAAAAGTAGTCAAAATGGATCTTGTTAGATTTCTTTTATATTAAATAATATGATTTTATAATTTATTTTATTTTTAAAATGATATGAATGAAGAAAAATTATATTTTCTTAAATACAATTGAAATATGGTAAGGATAATCTTGTATTTTCTAAACAGCTTTTCGCAGAAGCTCCAAATCGGAGCTTCTGCTTTTATGTTATACAAAAGCACTTTTCAGTTTTTCAAAAGCCGAACTTTTAGAGGTGTTTGGCCCTTGCTTCAGCTTTTAAATCCGAAAATCACTTCTAAAAGTCGGGCCAAACATAGGCTATATAAAATTCACTATTAAGCTTAACAATTAACTCAATATTCAGGACTTGTTATGAATGATTAACAGTGGTGGATGCAGAATTAGAAACTACCCCTATCCTTTTTTCAAAATATAAATATATAATTAATAAAAATTTAATAAATATAATTAAATTAATGATATTCAAATAATTTATTCATAGATAAAGAAACAATCAACTAATACAATTATATTTTGCATAAACAACCACGACGAGTTTTTCGCATTGCGAAACAAATGCAAAATACATTCTTTTAAGCAAGTCTCTTTCAGTGTATCCCATTAAATAATCATTAGCAAACTGACCGACAATCCAACTTTGAAGTTGTTCTTAATACAACTGAAGCTGAAAATGCTCTTTCTAGTTTGATAAGCAAATAAACTTACGGATATATGACTTATAAACTTTCATCTCCACCATTGCTCGAGATAATTCATCATGTACAAGCTGTTGTCGAATAATAGTGTCATGAATGGAATCAATTGACTAATTTTTAGCAATTAATGAACTAGTAATGAGTTGTGATATAGTAACAAAACATCATTATGTTACTTGTAGGTGTGGTATTTTTTTCCTCTCCCAAAAATTACCCCTGTCCCGGGACAAGGCCAAAATGGCCTAGCTTCGCCGATGATTAATGAGTTATCGGAAAGGTATAGTTTAGCACCTATGTACTCTATATTACAGTTTGATGCATAAACTTCAATTTCTTAATGAAAATAGTATCCAGAAATTATGTTTTGGTACCTCAAAATTTTATAAATGAGATTTTATTATCTAAAATTTTATTAACGATCTAAAATTTAAATTTCACTTGAATCTACAAATCTAATTCAGGAATCCAATCAAAAAATCCTTCCATTTATAAATAAATCCAATCTATGTGTCCCTCTATGATCTATCCCAACTATTTTAATACCAACTTCTTTTTACCCCTCTTATTTCCATATGCCCCATGCCCACCCCAACCTTCCAAATACTGAGAATCTATCGACCGGCCGATCCGACCATGTCAAGCGCTTTAGTGGTCAATTCTCGTTACCACAGCTTGACAGCTTTCCAATTAGTATAAAGACGTACCAAAAACAAACAACTTTGGATTCTCATAAGCAAATTGAAGTTAAGTAAAAGAGAATAACAATAATTATCGTGTCCATATATAGTTTGTTAATCAGCTTTCACCGCCGGCGCCACGACTTTCAAGGAGATGGAACAACCAGCGCCGGAGATCCAGCTTCAAGTTTCGGGTAAGCCCTCAATTCAAAACTTTCACCAATATTAAGACTAGATATAATCATATAATTGCTCAAGTTAATTAATTTTAACCGCACTAATTAAGCAGGCGGTAAAGAAGAGACGATGAAACAACCATTTGGAAGCATGAGAGTGATGCTGAAGCAGCAGAGCAGCCGGGAAGTGAACTGGTGGTGGTGGCTCAAAATCGCAGTCTACGCTTTCAGCGTGCTGTTGGGACAATCCGGCGCCAATTTACTGGGGAGGCTCTACTTCCTCAAAGGCGGGACCAGCAAATGGATATCATCAGTCGTCCAAGTCGTCGGCTTCCCCATCCTCCTCCCCTTCTACCTCCTCGCTACAACCGCCAAACACGACGACGACGACGACGGGAAACCGCGGCCGTCGCCGTACACTCTGGGCGCGATCTACGCGTCCCTCGGCTTAATTATTGGGATCAACTGCTTCTTCTACTCCGTCGGCCTCCAGTACCTCCCTGTCTCGACTTACACCTTGTTGTGTGCTTCGCAGCTAGCATTCAACTCCTTCTTCTCCTACTTCATCAACGGCCAGAAATTCACCCCTTTCATCGTCAACTCGCTCGTCTTGCTCACGATTTCGTCCGTCCTGCTCGTATTTAACAACGAGGAATCTGCTTCCTCGTCGTCGGCTCCTCCCATCCCGAGGGCCAAGTACGTCATCGGATTCTTCTCCACGTTGGGAGCGTCGGCTCTGTTCGGGCTCGTGCTGTCGGCCACGCAGTTCGTGTTCGTCAAGGTCATCAGGCGGCAGACGTTCAGGCATGTGATGGACATGGTGATCTACGAGAACTTGGTCGCCAGCGTGGTCACCGTTGTGGGGCTTTTCGCTAGCGGGGAGTGGGAGGGACTGGGGAGGGAGATGGACGGGTATGGACCGGGGACGGTGTCGTATTTGATGACGTTGATTTGGATTGCTGTGTTCTGGCAGATGTATTCGATTGGAGCTTTGGGGTTGATCTTCGAGGTGTCTGCGTTGTTCTGTAATTCGATAAGCGTCGTGGGACTGCCGATTGTTCCGATCGCGGCGGTCTTCTTTTTCCATGATAAGATGAGTGGGGTGAAAGGGATTTCCATGGCGCTGGCGGTTTGGGGGTTCGTTTCGTATGTGTATCAGTATTATGTGGATGATCGGAATTCTAAGGGTGTTGGTAAGTCAGTTGATGATGAGACCACCTCTGTTCGAAGTTCCGAATGCAAAAAAGATATCTCATCAACGTTGTAATGATCATCTGTTCACCTACAGTTGTAAGTTGGGCAAAATGTTTAAATGTGATATTTTACAAGTGGTACTAATCAAATTCACAATGAAAATGACGCCATCTTTCTTAATTATAAATATTTGATATATTTCTCCCATTTAACTGCTCATTTCTTGCTACATAATGCCACATTTGGTTACTGAGATTACTAAATCGTGTCATGTTTAGTCACTAGAAAAATTTAGTATTAATTTTGGTCACTCGAATTACTGAAATTGGTCACATTTAGTCACTCTCCCGTTAGTTTCCGTCCAACTCCATTAAGAGTGACTAAATGTGACATGTTTCAATAATTCGAGTAACTAAATGTGACATGTTTCAATAATTCGAGTGACCGGAATTGGACAGAAGCTACAAGAGAGTGACCAAATGTGACCTGTTTCAATAATTCGAGTGACCAAAATTGATATTAAATTTTTCTAGTGACTAAACATAACACAATTTAATAATTTCAGTGATAACCGTGGCATTTACTCTTAAACAAACCGATGACAAATAAATGTGTTGCTCTAGTAAACAATGATGAGGAGACAAAAAGTCAGTCCTCTCTTCTCTGCCTATGTGACATTTTTTTTTTTGTCATTTAACCACCAAGACTATCCTATGCCCCACCATCCCCAAATAATGTTACCAGTTGGCAGTTAAGTAAGACCAGTCTACGACTTAGAGAAGCCAAGAAGGGAAAAAAAAAACTTCTTGACTTAGAGAAGCCAAGAAGATATGACAATTATGATAGATATTAGGCAAATACCATTACAATAATATTCAAATTTTTTGAAAGAGTGTTATTTCTAATACGAACTATTCGCAAGTGATAATTCAAAAACGATAATGTGTTTTCGTTAAATATTGATCATTAATTGTTAACGTGGTTGTCATGTCGGTGGCATGCCAGCCGATTGATTAAATGAGTATAGTTCCTGAGATTCAAACCTGTGAGCTCCAAGCTGTAAACCAGTAGTAGAAAACCTTTGAGACGAAAGAGTAATCAAAGTTGTCCCACTACAAGAAATGACAAAGTATCCACTACGAAAGTTCCATACTATATTATACACTAATCGATTCAACATCTCAATATAACCTAGATTATATGAATAACCTGTTATTTCACAATTAACATCATCATAAATTACTCTAGAAACGCATTTATCTATCACAAACTCAGAAACAATACTCAATACTCATTTCACAATATGTCACATACCAGTGCTATCTACTAGCTAGTGTCATTGCACTTGCCGGCCATCCAAGTACTGCTGACAGAGATAAGAAAGAAACCCCCAAACAGCCAGCCAGCACCATCGCAATCGCCTTAATCCCCGTCATCCTATCATAAAAAATCACCATCGCCAGAATCAGCACCGGCGGCAGTCCAACCGTACCCACAGCGTTAGAGAACACCGGACTCACCTCAAACTCAAAGACCAGCTCCATCGTCCCCATCGCCATAACCTGCCACGTCACGCCGATCCAAACCAAGGTCATAACGTACGACGTCGTCCCCATCTCATATCCTTCCATCTGTTAGTAAACGATCTGTAACCGAAAGGTCTTGTGTTCGAATCCCGGTAATCCCCAATTGTTAGTACATGGTGTCTGATGTCTGTGCAAACTTCAAGCCCATATATGGTGGCTTTCGTTTGAGGGGGTGTGTTAGTATGTGGTATATGATCAACGATTGAACCTCTCCCAACAACTCGAGTTATTGGGGGCAACTCGTTCTTGACAATGTCATAAACCAGTTGGACCCAATAACTCGAGTTATTGGGAGAAGGTTATGTTGGATCTTATACAAGCCCATGTATGGTACTTAACCACTTCCTTACACGCCCCCTCAAACGAAAGCCGACTCATGGGCTTGAAGTTTGCACAAGGCCGCCATTCCATGTGTTTGAAAGACAACGATTAATATTGGGGGTCGTGAGGACTTTAACACGTGACCTCAAGGACAAACCAGCTCTGATACCATGTCATAAACCAGTTGGTCCCAATAACTATTGGGATCAACTGGTTCTTGACATAGTATCAGAGCCTTCTGTGACCGTGAGGTCTTCTGTTCGATTCCCTGTGACCCCCATCTGTTTATGTTAAGCACACGGTGTCCGGACCTGTGCCTGTCCAAACTTTAGGCATATCTGAATAGCTTGAGTTTGAAGGGTGGTGTTAGTAAACGGTATATGATCAACGATTTAACCTCTCCCAACAACTCGAGTTATTGGGATCAACTGGTTCTTGACACCATCTCCTTCCCCAAACCCTTCCACTCCCCGCTCGCCACCATCCCTTGAAACATCAACATGTTCATCACAATCCTCAAGCTCTGCGCCTTCAACACTCTCCTGAACGCGTACCTGTCAGGAAAACGAGGTCCAAAGAACGTGTGAATAATAATTCACTTTCCTTAGAATGTTATTTGTATGTCCTTATTATAAATTGTTGGTAGGTTTGACCAAAACATCTCAGAGTCCTTCCCAATTTAAAGTCTGGGAATAACAATCTTACAAACTTCTGTGTTTTTGTTTTGAGAAGGAAAACAGGTAGAAGAAGAAAACGAAAGAACGAAAAGTCTGGTCGAAAGAGTCTTTTATTGTGAGAGAACGCCAGTTCCCTTATGAAGGGTTACGTCGTTTCACAAAATTCAAACTCAATTAATTATTTGAAATTAGTTAATCAAAAAATTAATTAAATAGTCAAAAGTTCAATAAAACACACTTTCCCCAATAACCTATAGTTAGTAAAATACGGTACAAGAAAGTTATGTAGAAATTTTGTACGGGTATTTAACTTCGTCTCTAAACCAATGTTACGTTTAATAGTATGTCAATAGTCACAAATATATAAAATTAATTTGAAATTATATAAATATATAAACAATAGTAAAGTTAACAATTTAATTCATTAAATACGGATATTAAATGTGTTATACGGGTTTTATTCGTTTTTAGTATGCGAGCCATTAAATGAACTAAAAAAAATGAAATAGTTTGACAATAATATGGATACAAAAGTTTGAAAAGGATAAAATGCATACTATATACGTGTATTAAATAGAGTCTTTACTAATTATGCAAAAACCCACCAACCACTTTAATAAATAAAATAAAGTGGGAAGCAAATTTAAAAACCGCGTCACTTTTCTTCTCCCACACCAATATGTATGATATTTTCACTCACTCTTTTGACTACTCTTTAACCACCTTCATGAACACGTACGTACCCGGAGACAGCAAATAAGAGCCCTGCCCCTGCCGCGGAGGCGAGGGTGCAGACGAACCCTAACATGTACTTGGCCCTTGGTGATTCCCCAGAGGTCGGTGGTCGGGTCCCTGGCGAAGACGAGGAGGACGTAGGAGGTGGTGAGGAGGAATGAGCTTTTGGGAGTCGAGGAAGTAGGAGAAGAAGGCGTTGAATGCTAGCTCGGATGATGTGATGAAATGAAGGCTGACGTGGAGACAGGGAGCTAGTTTATGCCCGTTGAGTAAAGATACGTGTTTCCGCCTACGAGGATGCCGACAATTACGTAGAATGCTCCGTGCGTTAATTTGGAGGCCGAATGGTTATTATCGTGGTGGCGGCGATTGGTGTAGATGTAGTAAGGGAGGAGGAGGGGAAAGCCGGCGAGCTGGACGGTTGTGGAGAGCCATTTGCTGGTTCTGCCTTTGACGTAGTAGAGCCTGGCGAGCAGGAGGTAGGTTGTTTGTGAGGTGAGTATGACGGTTGCGTAGGTTATGACTTTTAGCCACCACTTGATATGTTTGGTCTTGCGGACGCGTTCTTGTTGTGACACTACTGCTGCTTCTGATTCCGGAAAAAGGGGCTAGAACTTTTAGCCACCACCACCTGATCTCAAGACGTAAATGGAGTTGGTGAAATCACTTACCCATGATAGCTTGCAGTTCAACGTCTTGATGGTGTGATCTTTTGCCGCCATTGGGAGAAGATGGAGAAAGGATGGATTGAGGACGATAAACAATGTTCCACTAAAAGAAAAAGAGAGATGGCTTTGCTTTATCCTGTCTCGTTTAACACAACTGGATAGCACACTACAAGGAGACTGACCTATGGCAAGGGTTTAGTAGAAAGCGTTTCGAAACTGCAGCTAGGATATTCGGAATTTATTGTAGCAATGGTTAGTAGCAAGGGTTTCACAGTCCTTGCTAGCCTTAAACTTAACACAATCGCATACTCTTTCCTCTCCGAACATTGCTTCTGGAAATCCCTCTTTGCTAATTTTGGTTCTTTCCCAAACGAACCAAAATTTATAATCCAAAATTCAAAGCATACAATTCAGGTTATCTTCTTCTTTTTGTCCCTGTCGTTGAGAAATTCCGTCGAAGCAAAAATTATTGGAAAATCACCACGGAGTAAGAATCAACGGATGAAGTCTCTACCGGTTATCTTGTTTTGCTAATTGAATTTTATTGCGTATTCTGATTGTTTAAGTCCACGAGTTAGAGCATCGACTTATATCAGTTGGTATCAGAGCTTCGGTTCAAACATAGTGGCATACGTATCCCTCATTTCTTGTGCGAGAATCAGATTAATTAGGTCTTGTGTTCTTAACCGCCACCAAGAAGGTTACTTTTCAGTTTTTTTTTTGTTTTCAAACAAAAAGAAAAAGAAAATAGAAGATTCCTAAAGTTTCAGAGAGAATTCTGAAGGTTCTTGGAGCTTACTTGTGCCGCAGACATGGACGAGTTTGAGCAAGGTAATGTGTTATGTACTCGCTGTCTGGTTCAAGAGAACTTGTGTTTTGTGGTGGTGGATGGAGAGATCAAATCCAATTTGATCAGTTCAAGGACAATAGCTAAGTTAGGGCTAACTACACAACAACATCCAAGTCCTTACCTATTACGATTGTCAATGGAAGATGCTTTTGTATATGTGACTGAACAAATATCTGTGGAGTTTCAACTTGGGACGTATGTGGATCAGATTCAGTGTGATGTCGTGCTTATGAAGCTGACTCACGTGGTACTTGGTGAACCATGGCATACTGATCGCCAAGCACGACAACATCATAGTCGCAATCATGTCATCATCAGTCATCAAGGAAGGAAGATTGCCTTAAACCATTTTCATTGGAAGAGGTTGCTGAAGATAGGAGGCAATTACAACAACTTTATGAAGAGGCACAGGCGAATCTGGAAGCAAAGAAAGTCGATGAAGAACATGATATCGAGGAAGTCAGAACCCTTCCAGATCAGGAGGAAGTCAAAGAAAAGAAGCCGTCGACCAATTGTCCGGATCAGAAGGAAGTAGAAGGAGTTGCAGTAAAGGAAAGTTGTGGAGCTGAAGTGATTGAAATAGAATGCATTGAATCAAGCTATCACGATCCTTTTTGTTTTATTCTGATAAGGATTTGAAGTGTACGAGTCGTCAAGCTTTTATTTTTTATAGCTTGCTTTGGATGACTAATTGCTTTGATGGCAAGAGGGCATATGTTGGTGGCTTGAGTCTAGTGAGGGATGAAGGTTTTGGACGATTAATTGCAAGTTTGGATGCCGCTGGAGCAACCTATTATGTTTGGAAACCTTGCTGGAGGTTTCACGGAAACATTCATGACGCCTTGAGCTTTGAAACTCATTATTTGGAGCCTTTGTGTGATCGGTTGATTGAGCACTTGATTCCGTGGGATTGTGGAGAAAGTTTGTTCTTTCATGGTGCATATTTCAGGTCGAGGGAGATGGAGTCAAACAATGGAGCCTTTATGCAGCCACAAGATTTAAGGATAACTCTTTTTGAAGAGGGAGGGAATGCGCTAGAAGGAGGGCATACGTATCCCTCCTTTCTTGTGCGAGAATCAGACGAATCAGGTCTTGTGTTCTTAATCGCCGCCAAGAAGGTTAATTTTCAGTTTTTTTTTGTTTTCAAACAAAAGAAAAGAAAAAAAGAAAAGAAAAGAGAAGATTCCTAAAGTTTCAGAGGGAATTGCGAAGGTTCTTGGAGCTTACTTGAGCCGCAGACATGGACGAGTTTGAGCAAGGTAATATATTCTGTACTCATTGTCTGGTTCAAGAGAACTTGTGTTTTATGGTGGTGGATGGAGAGATCAAATCCAATTTGATCAGTTTGAGGACAATAGCTAAATTAGGGCTAATTACACAACAACAACATCCTAGCCCTTACCTATTACGATTGTCAATGGAAGATGTTTTTGTATATGTGAATGAACAAGTATCTGTGGAGTTTCAACTTGGGACGTATGTGGATCAGATTCAGTGTGATGTCGGGCCTATGAGGGTGACTCACGTGGTACTTGGTGAACCATGGCATAATGATCGACAAGCACGACAACATCACAGCCGCAATCATATCATCATCTGTCATCAAGGAAGGAAGATTGCCTTAAAACCATTATCGTTGGAAGAGGTTGTGATAGACCGATAATTATACATGTTTTCACCCCTATTCTGAAACCGTTTGTGATGAGGAATCTCGTATTTTAAGCCGATTTCACGCTAGGTTGTGTGTTTATGTCATATTTCAGGTCCCGGCATTGGAATCGAGGCGGAGAAACGAGTTCTGGGTCGAAAGGAGCAAAGTTTGGACGGATAGGGCTGAAGGAGCAAAATACCCGGTCAGGTGGCCAAATACCCGACCGGGTATTCACCACTTTTGGGCGCCCGAGAAGCAGAGAGGGGCCCGGGCACAGCAGCAAAATCCCCGGTCGGGGATTATGGCGATTGACCGGGGATTCTTCCCTTAAGCGAAACGGTGCGCTGCAGAGATACCCGGTCGAAACCCAAAATACCCGACCGGGTATTTCGACCGGGTATCGCGACCAGGCAGCTGATTTAAGGAGGAAGAAGGCCAACATTGGGGGGTTCCGAGTTTTTGAGAGAGAAATCGATTCCTAGAGAGAGAAAGCGACGAACCAGAGTTCCCAAGCGCCATAGATCGATCTTCAACACCATTGGAGCCCGTCTTGAGCTTGGAGAAGTGCGATTAAACGTCCAGGAGCAGGAATCCAACTTCACAGTATGATTTCCGTGTCTGAATCTGCTTTTGCTTCTTTCTCTATGGAGTAGTTTCCCCATTCATCTGGGTATGGAGAACCCTAGATTTGTATGCTAGGTCTGATTGTATGAACCCAAGTACAGAGTTTGTGAATTGATTATATTCGATTGAGGTTTGAATGATTGAATGACTTGAATACTGATCAAATTCCTGTTGTTTATGCTTTGACCTAGAATGAGAGTATCTGCCTAGGTTGATAGAGTACCCTTAATCGAACGTGGCGAATTGGTGACTTTAGTCGAGGAGCCAATTCGCTATTTTGTACCGAAGTTAATTCGGTAGTGGAGGTTTGGTTCATTAGGGCCTCAATCTGTTTACTCCGGTGGAGTTTAGTCGCCCGCTAGAGACTCAGATTGAGAGGGTCTGGAGACCTTTAGTCGAGACTTCAGGCTAATTGAGAACCTTCCGCAGTATAACTTTCATGAAAACTGAACTTGGTAATTACAATCCGACTTAACTGCAGTCTAGGGGGAACCATATCCGGGTGACCTCTCTTGACTTGACAACAAACCGTTTACTTGCTTTGTGTTCTGTTTGCTTGAGTTGCACTAAAAGTTCACCGCTGAATAACAAGAATTCACCGAGTAGTCATCACATCTAGGACCCGGGTTGACATTAAAACCCGACCCGCTATACTACGCTTTAGAAAGTGGTTATACTTGGCCATTTTCTAGGGTGACAGTAACAGCGAGTCAAGTTTTTGGCGCCGTTGCCGGGGACGGCTAGGTTGTTGAAGAAAAGTGATTTCTGTTACTTTAGCATTTTCATTTTTGCATTGAGTTTTTGTTGGTCTCACTTGTGCCTTCACGGGTTTGCTTGCTTGAGTGTGTGCAGGTAGTGCATGACCCGTAGCCAGTCAGGAGGTTTACTGCCGTTGGATCCAGAGCTTGAACGCACTTGCCGCCAACTTAGGAGACATCAGCGAGCTAGACTGGTTACGGGAGAGCGCATAGACGGCCACTTGACCAGCGATTCTGAGGAAGAGTACGAGATGGAGGGCGAAGACATCCCACAACCGGGGAATGTTCGACAGGCTCCCCCGGTGAATCAGCATCCACCACCACCGCCGGGTCCCACCTTGGAGTACTACTACACTCCACGGATTGCTGACATCCGCCCGGTCATCCTCTATCCACCCATCCCAGCAAATAACTTCGAGATCAAGCCAGGCTGGATTCAGCTCATCACATCCTCTATCCAGTTCCATGGCTTGAAGGATGAGGAAGCCCGGGCACACATTTCCCGTTTTCTGCAGCTGACAAACGGGTTCAAGCTGAATGGTGTTCCGGATGATGCAATCCGCCTTCACCTCTTCCCCCATTCTCTGGCGGGGAATGCTAAGAGGTGGTTGGAGACCCAGCCCCCACTGTCCATCACTTCTTGGGACGATCTGGCGGATAAGTTCGTGCACAGATATTATCCGGCATCGAAGACTACTGAGATTCAGCGGGAGATCACTCACTTCCGCCAAGAGCCAGATGAGTCCCTTCTAGCAGTGCCCCCATCATGGCTTCAGCGATGCTTTCACAGTGGGGAACTTCTACAGTGCCATCACCCCAGACAGCCAGAGGGTGATCGAGTCTCTATGCCCAGGAGGGGATATCCTTACTAAGACTCCACCCGAGCTGAACCAGATGATCAGTACTTTGGCTGCCCGCGATCATTCCTGGGGGCAGAGCAGCAGAGGCAGGCACTCCCGGGACCATGGTGTGCATGCTATGGAGGCCCGATCTGGGTTAGAGCAGCAGGTGGCTGAGTTGGTGCAGACACTGAAGCAGCCTAACAGTCTCCTTCCGGGCCGAGGTGTAACTGCGCCTCCAGTAGCTCAGTGCCAGTGGTGTGAGAGTCCAAACCATCTGGTGGAGGACTGCCAGGCTATGCGGGAGTCCTCTACTCCCCAAGAACAGTTGG